TGACGGCATCTCGAACACCGTCACGGAGAGGATCCTCAATACCGGTGATACCAATGAGCGTCAAACCCTGGGAGAGCTTGTCGAAGGGAACCTGCGATCAAAGTGTGAGTTAAGATGATCTGTGCGGAAAGAAAGATACAACATACGTCGCCGTTTTCGTCACGTCCCATCTCGGCAGGCGGCCAAGATTCGAAGTCCCGGTAGCAAAGAGCGATGGTGCGCAGAGTCTGGTTGGCGTAGAAGATAATGGTCCTGCTGATGTTCTCCTCGGCGAGTTCGTCAATGGGCAAGGTGTCGACGACGTCCTGGCGTTGACCGTCTCTCTGAACAACAACGTGATGTGTCGATTTCTTAGCGAGGATCTCACTGGCACCCTTGAAGTAAACCCTGAAGCCGCCAGTCGGGCGCTTGATGACGACACCCATTGCCTTGCGCTCGGAAGAGAAAGGGATCATCTGAACGACGGTGGCGGCATCACGGGTAGTCTTGAAATCGGGCCACTTGAGTTCCTTAGCGAACTGGAGGAGCGCGGTCTCAGTCTTGCTTCCGACGAAGATGATCTCGCCAGATTCTGGGTCGGTGTCCTGGAAAGCCGTAGAGTTGACAGCAATAGCCTCATTGAAGAGGTACTGGAGAGCCGGTGAGAGGACAGTGCTGAGCTGAGATTGATCGACAGAGAAGTCCTTGTCATGCTTGCGCACGAGCTGAGTACCGGAAGTAGATTTCTCGGTCTCGTCGGCGTTCGTACGTTGGGCGTTCTCATCGAGCTGTCGAACGAATTTGGCGTGGATACCGACTGAACCAGCGACGACCGTCATGGAGTTCTGAGTGAGTGTACCGGTCTTATCCGTGCAGATGACGGAGGCGTTGGCCATGGTCTCGCAAGACCCCAGAACACGGACCAAAAGATTTTCGTAAGTCATTCGCTTCGTCGCGAAAGCCAGAGCGAGAGTAACGGCCAAAGGCAAACCTACACAAAATGGGCTGTCAGACGGGCTTGTCGGAATGACGGATTATCGGATAGACGAACCTTCCGGAACCGCCACAACAATCAAGGTGACAGCTATAATCAGGATATTCACGAAAGCGATACCATTCTCGTTGGCGTTACTAATGGCCGCCGCGTCAGTGTCAAGTCAATGCACAGTCAGAGAGAAATATTTACCGAGGTGGTACTCCTTTGCCGAGTTGAACGAAGAACCTGATCATCAAAGCAGAGAAGAGGGCCAGACCACAAACGGAACCAATCTTGGCGATGAGTTCAGCGAGGAAATTGAGCTTGATCTGGAGAGGAGTATTCTCCGTATCGCCGCGAAGCGCTGAACGAATCAGATTAAATACATTAGTTCCATCAATTATTCTGAGATGGCGAGCTTACCCATCATGATACGACCGTTGAAACTCTTGGTACCGACGGCTACGATGACGTATTTGCCAACACCTTCGAGGACTTTGCTACCCGAGATCATGAAGCAGTCCGTATGGCCCGAGTTGGGGTCCTTTCCGGATGCTGTAGCTGCGCGGTGGATGTCGATGACTTCGTTGTATGAGACCTTTTTGATAGCGTCCGACTCGCCGGTGGCTCCCGACTCATCGCATTTGACGTTGTGGCCAGAAATAAATATGCCGTCACAGGGTACAATTTCACCAGGTTCCAGGAGGGCGATGTCGCCCACGACAACTTCCTTAAAATTCCAGTACATTGAGAAATGCACGCCTAGTCCAGAAAGATAAAAGGCATACCTTGATATCAACAACTTTCTCGACACCGTCACGAATGACCTTGACACCACGTTCTTCCTTGCGCTCGTTCAACGCTTTGAACTGACGCTCCTTCTGCCAATCGTTAAGAGACCCGACAATAACCTAATAAACAAAGGCTCAGCAAATTACAATGATGATAACAATTAAGAGGCTTACAACAATAGCGATGGCAACCATGATAGCAACACCTTCAACCCAATCGACGGGGGGTTCGTCGGGGTTGTGTGAAGGTCCAAAGTCTTGGAAGAATCCAAGAGCCAGAGAGATCACCGCAGCGATCGAAAGTAAAATCTATGAACGATGCGTCAGGCAAGGCAAACGGAACGGTGAAAAAATAGATACACACCAAAACTTTGTCTTTCATCGCGGCCCACATCAGCTGCAAAAGAGACTTGCTGATACGCGTTGGAAGAACGTTGTCGCCGTACACTCGCCGTCTGTCCTCCATTGTCGCCGCAGCGGCAGTGCTGTCGTCGCCAGCGGAAGGTTCAGACGATTTCCCGTTTGAGTCGGTCAAAACAATAGCCGGGAGCTCCTCGCTCTCGCGCTTCTTTTCTGAGTCGTGTCGCTGAGACACACCCTGACCAGCTCCCACCTGCCCATGAGTCGCGTTCGCGACCTCGGTCTCCTTCCCCTTGGAAGTCGTCAGACCGCGTTCAGCATTCGAGCCCAAACCTCGAATAAGACCGTCAGTGCCACCGAAACTTGTAAGCGTCTCGAGGCTCTTTGGGTCAAGCATGTGAGCCAGCTGATATGGCTTGAAACGGAATGGTGCGGGGTCGATGGCCTCATCTTGCGCAAGTTCGATCTGATGCGCGGTATGGTTTTCATCCTCGTCGTCCTCGTCGTCACCATCGGAAGAGCCTTTCTTCGATTTCTTGCCCTTCTTCTTTTTCTTCTTCTTGTCATCCTTCTCGACAACGGGCTCCATGCCCTTCTTCTCACTACAATAAGAAATACAAGGATTCAACATTCAACATCAAACGCGTGACAAAACAATAATTCTGACCTCGATTGACACGCCTCGACGTCTGTCATGGAGGTGGCGTTGCTCCCTTTGCGATTATGGGTAGAGGCTGGGTTAAGGAGACCTAGTGACGATAGACCAGATTTCTCTTCTGGCTTGTTGTCGCGTAGATGGAGGGTCGAAGGGAAAGCCCCCGAGTGATTTGAAAGAGTGGGCGAGGGGGGCACGGAGCTAGAGTCAGATATATCTGACGGGGAAGGGGGCCCATTGCCGTACGTAGAAGGACTATGTGGGGAGAGGAGACCTGACGCGGGCGACTGCTGCGAGGGAGACACGAGGTGGGAGGGGGAGGAGGCGAGGTCTGTGGTAACGTTGATTGAGGGAATAGTTGAGTTATCTTCTCCGCCTGCCATTGTCGCGCGTCTGCGATATGCGAGGAAGAGTGGTTGGGAAAGAAAACTAGACAGCGTGCTGACGTCCCGTGTTTAAAAAGGGTTCAAGGCTGTGTTCATGTTCTTGGCACGCGATCGTTCCACCAATTCTTCCATTCCAAATGAGCTTCTCCAACACACAAACTCCACTATGTACTATGTACTATCTCTCCCAGGTCTCTGCCTCTTAGGCGCGCCATCTCTGCCATAGCTTTCACAAAGCGATTCAGAGTTATCATAGCAGTTGATGTCGACACCGATTACCATAAGCGGATTTTTAGCTGCGAACGTGCGACAACCCGCTTGGCCCCCAAGATTTGCTTAGTATTTTGTCCTGTTTCTCGAACGTTTCTTTCCGAGACTACCTTGGAACCAGCTTGGTTGCCTTCACAAAGTTTCGAGAACATTTATGACGATCGATCGTCCCTTGACCATCCTCTTTTCTTGTCTCACTGCACAGGCCTCTTGTTCCGCCCTCGCCCATCGGTCCCTCCTTCATCCGCACACAGCTTTCCACTCTGGCGTACGATGAACACCTCACCTCGCTATTTGGCGCACCGAACTTCGCCGAATCAACATGACGCATCAGAACGGGGGTATGCGCGACCCTAACCTATTACCGTGATATGGGACCTGCCTTGGCATACTGTCATCGCGATGTAACGGTTCCTCTTCTCAACCACATGTGCTCCAGGCTCTGATAGCGCGCGGAACCACTTCAACCTGCTCGCCAGGCCTCACCCCACCTGTGCGTCATCTGAATTAATTCGAAAGCCCCAACGCTGCTCTCCTTTCATTCAACCTCTGTTCCATGGATGGACCAAATGTTACGTACGGGCATGCAAATGCAGTACATAAATTTCTACTGCCGCGCGATGGGCACGCCCACCGTACATTTTTGATGTATGACTCACCAATAGACGCTTTTCGGCTGTACTGGTTTGTTTATTTAGTTTGCCGACGGTGACAAGGTTAAACGCGCAGTTCATGTATTTCATGCAGGCAAACCAGGACCATCCCTATATTTCAAACTTCCCCACAGTATGGGCCCGAATCAAGAAAAGGGTCGGTGGAGCTGGAGGCTATGTTCATCGTAGAATATCGGAGTATCTGATCTCTATATGGCAGCTATAGCCTGCTATAGCCATACATACGAGCAAGAGCACCCTTCCTGTGACTGAAGCTAACCCAAGATAACTCGGCATATACAGCATACTGCGCAGCTGCCTCGAAGAGGGTTTGTGTCACCACATGGAGCAGTGGACCGAGAGAGTGAAGATAGATCCTCGTATGGCCAGTGCATACTTATTATAGTGCGAACATTCCAGTACATGTCACAACATCATAAACTCTAACCGGCGGGGGTGCATTCTGCTCCTCACAATCAGGCAGAGAGATCTGAGAGAGCTACCATAACGAGCGTCTGTGTGTTTTGCCACATACCTCCACCTCCTGGCTATAATCACTCTAATCTGTGTAAAGATCTTTCCCGTTGCAATGAATTGACCTCCTTATCTTCGTGCTCATCATACTTTGTACAATCGTACTAAAAAAGGGAAGTGAGTTCGTGAACTGCGTGTGAGCTGGGGGAAATAACCACGTCATAGGCTCGAATGTCGGCTCGAATGAACCCATTAATGCCAGTTCGGACTCAGAAGGGGCCTCATTAATGAAGACTTCACAGGCACCCAATGGCGTTAAGAGACATCTAGGGGATGCCAGGCTAATCTAGCATTGGTCGACTTTACTAGTTTGGGCGAAGTGTTCACAAGTGATCTGATAATCAGCCATATCGTTCACCTGGTCTCAGTAACGTTAGGGCGCGTAGGCATACCATTGGTGGGTTGGCGTAATGGCAACGCGCTAGTTTCCGGATACGCCTGGCTTCAAACCCAGGCTATCAGCTAGAGATTCTGGGTTCGAGTCCCAGGCCTGTCGCTTTTTTATGTTTTGCTCGATGGAGAACTCGCTCGATATCGCAAGTGGCTTACTTATCATCATTTTCGCAACAAAGAATCTTTGAAAAGGCTGTGTAGTCGTAATGTTGCTGTCATATAATCTGACATCAGAGACAACAATCCATGGTCATCAGACGTGCTTTAGAGGCGCCACAGCCGGTAGAGGCACATGCCCGAACAAATTTCTCGCTGAATGCCTTGCGCGTCTCGAGATAAAATCTGAAATGCCTTGTGTCGATACAGTACTTATTGTCGCCACACTTGGCAAAAAATGCCACATCACTTTTTAGGACAAAAACAATAGCCGTGCTATCGCCGAAAGTAAGCGCGGCTTGTCATGAAAAGTTCTGAAGCCTTCTGTAGCATCGCCTCACCGCCAAAACAAGCAGATCCAGGACATCGCGAAACCTTGAGAATTTCAGAGAAAAGTGTCAACGATCAGGACGGGTTAATCGTGTTCTCCCGAGTGAGTGCCAAGGGCCTTGAATTGTCTGGACGATGACGTGCTTTGCACTCAGATGATAATGTCGTACAGCCTTCGAGCTTCTCCTTCCAGCACATTCTGATATCTATGTAGGCCTGCATAGGCTATACAAGAATGAGGGCACGAAGAAGCACTAACGGTGTACGAAAGTGGTACGAATAGGCCATCTGCTGATCTTTTTTAGGTCTGATTGACCTTTCGAATCACGATTCTTGACAGATGGTAAAAAGTGCGAAATATATTCAAAGATTGGCGCCCACATTGCCAAAGCTTTGGTCAAGGCTCAGGGTTCATCAGCCCATCGCCGTTTGATCACAGACACCCCCGAAAGAGCCGTGGCACCCATACACAGCAGATAAGCGCCTCATCAAGCGCTGGTGACTCACCGATCACCAGCTAGACACGGGGTGCTTGTATATAGATAGTTTCGCTAATGATTGTCAACACCCCCAAGGCAACTGTTGATATGCTTCCAGTTCCAACAGAACCTAGTACTGCCATTGAAAGTTACAGAAATTGAGGCAGTGTCCATATCAAGTTTACTGTCTGATCGCTGTCCTTGATGGAAAAAATATTTGTCTCTCCATGTATATTGCAGGAGGTCAAGTACGTACCAGCCGTAATCCGTTCGGAATATATTTCCTTTGTCCAACTTTGTCCGATTAGAGCAAGGCCCGCTGCCGCAAGTCACCCCTGACAACTTATTGCCATATGAACGGTTTTACAAACGCGAGGCTCACCCGTGGTTCATCCTATCTGCTTAAAGCCAAAATGTCGAAGATCGACCGATAAGCAGTGCAGACCCTATACACAATCGTGGAATATGACTCACACCGAGGGCCTGTAACTTGAAAGTGGCTGAATGCAGTTTACCTTGAGTTTACCTCGCGCTTTGAGTTTCGGATCTACACATTCGTCACGGCGATCTGATAATAATTACATGGATAATCTCTTTGCATCAAATAAACGGGCAGCCGAGCCCAAATCCGCCCAAGTACGTCCTATACTCGCTCCTTTCCTTCCACTTCCCACCACTTGGGAGATCCTCATCAGCTACTTGGGAGATCCTCATCAGGGTTCGTGACTTTCGTGGCTGTCCTGTGTAGGTTCCTAGCGATCAAATGTACGAAGATAACGCCCACGAACGTGTCTGAGGTGCGATAAAGTGACATTCTATGTACTTCTTGACTGACTGAAGTCGGACTAACGCTGATAACGACCCCTCCCGATTTCCCCCTTAGCTTCGAACGCCATCGTACATATCTCGCGGCATGTTCTTTCCAAGCATTCGGCAACGTGGCGCCTGTCATGCATATATTATGAGGCGTCGTTCGGAAAAATACCGTCAAGGCTGTGCGCACATAGTTCAATTCAATCTTAGCACAAGACGGACCGACAGCGCCGCTCCGTACCCCATGAGTCATACCATGACCTTGATGATACCGCTTTCACTCGCCACACGCGTTCATCGGCCCTCGAAGGCATGGCGGGTGCTGCAAAAAACGAGGCAGTCGTTGGTACCCATTGTTGGACCGAAGAGGACTGGATCATCTTAACCGGTTCCGGCAATACCTATTCCTGAAATGGACATGATCCTGCACGACCAGTAAGAGTCAACTTCACCTTTTATGATACATTTCCACCTAGGCCTGAGGCTCGTGAGACGAGAAGGCCCCATATGTGTGTGAAGATTATTTTCCGAAATTCCGGTCTAGATATATACAGAGCGCTCTAGGCTTGTGGGTTCATGGGAAGTGGGGGTAAGGAAGGAGGAATCGAGGGTGTAACTACGAGATAGGCATAAGCATAACGTACAATCTATCTTCATCCTATGCAGACTAAACAATAAATGATGAAAATTCCATCCGACTTCCCTTTGGTCCAAGTTTTTAAGAGCACAATGATCATGCGTTAGCGGCCGGTGTCGAGGGCACAATACCATCGACGATGATGCTGCCTTGACCAACATCGTCATAAGCTTTGACTTCCAACTCTGCCTGGCCCTCCTTCCCGATATCCTCCACGTCGATTTTACTCATCTCCTTGATGAAGCTGCTGCCCCAAAAGGCAGCACTATACTTGTTCACATACTTGAACAATTTACGGTGATTCTCTGCCCGCACCGCAGCATCCATCGTCACTGCCTCGTGAATTGCGTCCGCAACTTGCTGGGAATCCCATGGGTTTACGACGATAGACCCATTCAAGCTCTGGGCGGCGCCGGCGAATTCGGAAAGAATCATCACGCCTTGACGGTCTTGTTGGCACGCAATGTACTCGTAAGACACCTATCAATCAATGTCAGATTAACACACGATTGTGTGGTATGGATCGCAGACCCACCAAGTTCATACCATCCCTTGTACTGGATACAAGGCACACGTCGCTAACAGCGTAAAGAGCGCAAAGTTCGTCAAACGCAAGGCTCTTGTGCATGAAATGAATTGGCATGAATTCCACCGTTCCGAAACGACCGTTGATACGCCCAACCAGTTCGTTCACCGTCGCCCTCAGGTTTTGGTATTCTTCGACATCTTGTCGAGATGGCACAGCCAACTGAACCAGAACAACCTAGAAACAGTTGACGGTCAGGGGAAGGTGGTCAGCAGACACGATGCTAGAAAACAAACTTTGCCGATCCATTCTGGGTGTTGTGTGAGGAAGAGCTCCAGAGCATGCAACTTCTGCGGAACACCCTTGATGTAATCCAAACGGTCAACACCGACAATGACTTTCACACCCCCGAAACGCTGCTCCAGCTGGGAGATACGGTCCTTGACCGCTTGCTTCTGCAGATTCTATAGAAACCGCGTGAGTTTCCTGAATAGGTTTGCAAAACACAAGTCCAGACGCACGTCGATGAAACTTGCAGGTTCAATACCAATTGGGAATGTGCCAACATGGGCAAGCCTGCCCTCAAACTCGACACCATTGGGCATGGTGGGAAGGCCAAGTATACGCGTACAAGACGATAGGAAATGACGCGCGTAATCATACGTGTGGAACCCAATCAAGTCGCAATAGAGAACTCCCAGAAGGATTTCTCTCCGCACAGGCAAAATCCTAGATAACACGCGTCAAACCAGAGAATCAAGCCATGCAAATTTTCGTACCGATAAATTTCACTGCTCGGGAAGGGGGTATGTAAGAAGAACCCAATCTTCACACCAGGAATGGGAGTATGGTCCGCCGATTGAGCCTCCACTTCGATGCCCTCTGTGATTTTCGACAATTCCTGGGTAGTGAAATCTCCCAAGTTTTGACGACCGTCAATGATCCCGCGGAGAAGCATAGGAAGGAGCATGAGATGGTAATCCTGTACCCAAACCATGGCACCGGGGGTTATCTGCTGGCGGACGGCTTCTGCAAACTTCATGTTGGCTTGACGGTATGCCAACCAGTTCTCCTCGTCAAAGTTCATCTCTCCAGGATGATAATGGAAAAGTGGCCAGAGGATTGAGTTGGAGAAACCGTTGTAATGTCGGTCGGCTACGTCATCGTCGAGGTAGACAGCCTGACATGAATATTCTTCCATGAGGCGTTTGTCTACCAGAGGGCGGTCTTTGGGGGGAATAAAAAAACCGGGCCAGCCGATCCAGGTGAAGTTGAGAGACTTCTTGAACCCAGAGAGGGCAGAGACGAGACCGCCCGAGGACATTTTGAAATGGTACTCCCCATTGGCATCCTTGTTGATGGTGATGGGGAGACGATTTGAGACGACGACGAGATGACCCCCTTTGCCGATGTCCATTGGAGGATGTTCTGAAGGAGGAACTGCGGAGGATGAGGACATGGATGTTTGCGAAAGATTTATATGACGCTATAAGATTACGCTTCAGTCAATTCAGGCTAAAACCGAGCGGTGAGAGCCAGATTGGGAAAGATAATCCGATCGGTGTGCGTGGTGACCACAAAACGTTCGAAACCGACGGATGCTCGCGATGAGTAACTGTCGCTGCAGTTTTTTGAATCAGATTATCCCTCTGGCTGATGCAAGGGAGATCGCTGCCTGCCCTGTCTGGCATATTGAGCCAAGCCATAATGATTCAGCCCACAATCAGTCCTTCGTCATTAATCTTGTCATACTAACATGTCACATCCTTGCCACAACCGACCGTGACAGATCGTGACAACCCATTACCCACCCTGTTTCGTCCGCCTCCGATATTGTTCCCCTCCTCAATTCCCGGCGCGGCGTGCAGAAGGAGCATACAGTTTTGTTAAGAACGCTACGTACTATATACAAGACGAATATAACACGGCGGATTCCCGGAGAACTACAAACTACATCTAATCGAATAATCCGAAGCCCTGCATCACGAACGTGTCAGATGTTAACTTTCTTCAAAAGAATTGCACACATACCATGTCGTCGTCAGATTCCTCTTTCTCCTCCTCCACGACCTTCTCCTCGGCCTTTGCGGCAGCAGGTGCGGCCTCAGCAGCAGCAGGAGCGGCAGCAGCGAACGCATCGGGGTTGGCAAGGTAGTCCTTGA